TTTACTGAGACGAACAATATTCTGCATTTATTATTATTATTATTAATATTGTCAAATGTAGGATTGAACGAAATATTCTACAGCGATAACTTCAGCTTCACCTAATAATTCTCGCGTATCTCTACGTTTACAAATAACTAATGATCCCGATTCAATCTTCACACGTTTGTTATTCGTCCATTTGCCGTTTTCGAAAATTGGCGAGAGAGACAAAGAAAAAGAGAGAGAGAGAGAGGGAAGAAGAGAGAAAAGACCAAAGCAATTGCTCGGTCCAGTTGCGAATTCGCGTTGGTCTCAAAAGCCAAAGTCGAAAGAATTATTGAAAAGTTGATGGTCCCCTCCTCCGGAACTGTATGTACGTTCCAAATAATCGGATGAAGATAAAAAGTCCAAGTGAAAATTGAGCCGGATTTGCAAACTCGCAGCTCGCGCACCACTCCAATGCGATTGGCGACCCCTCTCGGAGCTTTTTATAACGAGAATTTATGCTCCACCGCCGACTGCCCGAGAAGTTTATGGCAAATCGCCGCGAACCATTGCCGTAGTCGTGTGACGTGAGCAATTGCGCTTCACAACAGACAATGATGCTTGCAACGCGTTAATTGTTACGAGTCGCACGTTTAACACGTAACGTGGAGCATATCCTCGCTTATGCGCGGGCGTCAATTTCGCCGACAATGTCGCGAAATGTGCCTTTCACGTAAAAATGCACGCACGAATTCCCCGCCGGGATCATTGCGCTTTAACATCAGACAGTCGATAGTTGACCATTGAAATTTATTGACGCGCTGAGGCCTCCTTCTCTCTTTCTCTCTCTCTCTCTCTCTCTCTCTCTCTCTTTCTCTCCCCCCCCCTTCTCCTCTCTGTGTCTTTCGCTCTCGCTCTCTCCAATTCTCCCAGGGTAAATTACTTTATGGATCCGCTGACCTGTACGCTACGGGATAATGGAAACTAAAACTCGCAAACTCCCGGACGGTGGTTTTCCAATCAGCGATATCGAGGCGCCCGGTTATCCCTCATGCGGCACGACGCATTCTGCGTGTCAACGATCGACGTACCGCATGGCACGACGTGTATATAAGAGACACGAGATGTAGTGCACGATGGCACGATCAATCAAAAAGTCCGGTCAAAGCGCAGCGAGCACACACACACACACACACACACATACGACCCCGGTGTGTATTAAATCGAGTCGCGAGCAACCTTGCGTTTTGTTCCCTTTTGTAAATTCATACCCGCGTGTACGAGGTGTTCCACGACGCAGCCTAGTCCAATGTCACGCACTCGTTGTTGGTAATTATTCGTGTTGCTGATTGAATAAACAGCCTCGTCGGCTCTCTGTCCGCGATTTGGAAATAATTCATATTTGCTACCTTCGTCGGGAGTATTATTTTACCCATTAGAATTGCATTTATCTCCGTATGAATGTGTGCAGCTTTCCGCGTAGCGTACGGATGTCACGGCTTAATGTAACTTTTCAGTGAATCACAATATGTTTGAATTGAAATATTTTGATGAACCTCTCATCAACATTTTCTCTCTCGTGGAAAATCATAACTAGTCAGATTCGTTTTCATATCTGGACGTAATAACAATAATGATTTCATTTCTTGTGGATCATACTATTGTTTATATAAGGAAAATAAAGAAAAACAACGAAAAACAGGAGAACAAACAGAAATAAACTAAACAAACGAATGCAAAAGCGAGCTATCAGTAGAGTATGTTACACAAAGGGAGAATATCAGTTTTTTTTCATATTAATTTTTTTCACTTTTTTATCATGTTTCTAGTAGTGTAGGAATAAGTTGTCAGTGCATTAAGAAAAAAATTCTTGCAAATTTATTTGTGGCATATAAGTCTATTTCTGTGAAATGAAATTTATTTTTTTGAATAAACTTTATATTCCACAGATAGATTTTCGAGTATTTTTTCTGTGGTCTACCTCGTCAACGAATAGAGCAAATTTCGCTAAAAATATAGCAAATTTTTAAGCTTTTAGCTTTCTACTACTAATTGTTAGTGAAATACATTTTTTACTGATTCAATCAGAAATATTTTCATTGATTCGTTTTAGGATAATATGAAAATAAATGGTCTAAAAGTAATCAATCATTGCGGAATGTCAACATATACGTCGGTCACAAAATTTTACAATAATTTTTATTATAAAATTCTCTCTCTGTAAGCGTCACGAGTCAGATTCGTGATGCAGTCTCAATTAAGGATTCGGCGTTACGTATCGATCGTGATACGTTTCTCAAAAAATGCGTTGAGATATCAAGCAAGCGCTATTACGAACGTTGCCTCGAATGTTTTTATCCCGCTGAATGAGGTCATGCAATAAAATACAGTTTTGGAGTTGGAGAGCTCACCTCCGTAACGTTGTATATCGTAACACGAATAACGAGGTGGCGTACAACAAATATAGAGAACTCATCGCGCGCGATATCACGGGCGGCTGTACGTGGCGGAAACTTTTCGCATTTCGAATGTAATCGCGACGAGCGATACGTGTTCGTGCGAAAGCGGAAGCCGAACGCATATCGCGTGAACTGTTTGGCGCGGCGAAAATCGCGATATTTCAGCGGGAACGCGACTTTCGCGCGGAATCACTTCCGCATGCGTATCGTCGCTATGCTCAGCGTATCATTAAAACAAACTCGCGTCGTTTCCGAGGCGATCAGACGTCAACGCGTCATCGGGTTGAAGTCTTGGCGTGAAAGGCTACGACAGTTCGCGCGAATTCTCGCGCGCGGAAATGTTTCGTTGTTTCCGCTTTGGAAACAACGCAGAGTGCACGGAAAAGGATGATAGTAAATGGATGGCGGTAGATGGATAAAAAAAAAAGAGAATCCCGGTGCAAAATCGCCTGTTGTCGAACTAATAGCTTAATCGAGCTCCATCGGTTCAGGGATTTAATTATTGACGGTCTGCAGTGCGCGGGACGCGGTCGAACTCGACCGCGGCGGAATGGTAAACAGTATAATGCCGATTATTTGCGACGGTCGTTAGCGAATTTGATTTTCAGCGCGGGCTCCATTTATTACATAACAGCGGGTGAGTCGCGGTCTCGTTCAAACGTCGGATTTCGCGAATCGGCTTGGGCGCCGACTGTTTTGCACGACAACACGACGTAACGAGTATCCGCATTCGTTCGAGAGAGGAGAAGGATTCCCGTCGAGAGAGGAAATCGAATCGCCCTGAACGACGACTCGGCTGTAATTTATTATATCGCGCCTTTGAGATTTCGATTCCCTCTATCTCGCGCGGTGCGCGATTTAAGAGCGTGGCGAATAATAATCCGCGGCGTTTATGTGCGCGCGCCTCGTTCGCGAGCTGTAAAAAAGGCGAGATAAATTTTGGGCTAATGTCGAGACTCTCTAACGGCTCGGCCGACTTCGTAGAATTAGCCGTGAGTTCCACAACCCATCCCAAATCCGGCTTATCCTCGAATTTATCCGCGATAGCTTTTAATCCCGCTTTTCCTATCACGAAATAGAGCCCGGGCTCGAAGCTTTTCGATGTATCCGCCAGCTGCTACCTGGAACGTTTCCTAAACGTCGACACACGGTCGTGACTAGACTCGACTCGACTGCTTCATCGCAGGTGCGACTGAGGAGCGATGCGCGGGCTGTCCTAAATTCGGCATACACTTCCTTTTGCCTCTGTTTCGCGGCCCGGTTTAAGCTCGTTCCGTCCTTCAGTGAAAATTCCAATAACACGCCGGCTACCAATGCGTCGTTGGTAATACATCTGGCATAAATAATGTAAAAGTATGCGCAATAATTTAATGCGTTGGATTGATATATTCTTCTTCCACTGCAAATAAGTCAAATTCTTTTACAAATAGACGGTGGTATATTGAATACATGTGAAAAAAAGTAAGCATAAAACATATCTCCGACTTCTACTTAATGAACATTATCTCGAGATCTTGGGTTCCTCTAAAGAGACAAAACGTTTCTCTACTCATACACGCGCGCGTAGAGAGTTTTATAATAAAAATTAACAGAAATATCAGAAGTATAGTAGAAATTACAGAATTTTGTAACCGACGAATAGATTGACATTCGGCAGTAACTGACTTTTTTCATTACACATTTTTTATATTTTAGAAGCTGGATTGCGCTGTTATAAAATTTGCTTAATGTTTCCAGTAAAATTTATTATATTCTTCAATGAGACGGATTTTACTGACAATTTATTCCTGCGCTACCGGAAATATTGTGAAATTGAAAAAAGAATTCATATACAGAGTGTTCCAGAACAACTTCCGTAGTTCTCGTGGAAGCATAGTACGGATTCAGGTGAACATAAAAGTCCAATATCCTCCACGAGAAGATTGTTCTGGAACATCCTGCATGAAAGAAAAAAAAAGAATTATAATATCTTCCCTGTGTGTATAACAATTGCTAGACAAATTTCATCTCTGAAATTAAGCTGGGTAATCGGCATGTATTAGTCTCCGAAGTTAGAGACGTGTACGGAAGAATAATACGCATCGCCCAAATTGTCGCGTTTTTATTCTCGCCGATTCACACGGACGCGAGGCTCGCGCGGTGCGAATTTCATTCGCCGGATTCACGACGGCCTCGCGCAATGATCGACATTAAATAATGAGACTTTCGATATAGTCGTCGAACGTGGGAGAGAGAGAGAGAGAAGCCAATAATGAGCGCGCGCGCGCGCACACATATACGAGCGACCTGTCAAGACCGATCGGCTTGATTAACCGAGAAAAACCGTAAGTGGCCTGATTTCTTTTTTTTCGCAACAGTTTTGTCGTTCTTCGCGAGGCGCTAATTAATATCGCGCGCCGCTCGGTCTCCTCGATATTACAATTCGCTCGTAAAAGCCGCGCTCGATTAAATTGGATCGGCCGCGCGCGCGAACGGTCAACGACGTCGTTTGTCATCGCCTAACTGCAGCGTCCGCACCGTTGCAGTTAATAATATGTGCCGCGACTTCGGAGGTTCTCCGATAGCAATAATTGAGTTTACCCTCGAATTATCACCCGCGCGAAGCGACCTCATAAAAATATGGCGCGCTGGCGACCACGGTGACAGTCGGGCTTCCGCTTCGACCTTGGTTAGAATTCGTACGATCTTCCGCGATGTATCGCGAAACACTGGTCACGCTTCTTCTCGCCCTTTTGATGGTAAGAGAAAGTTTGTTGTCAGTTTGTCTAAAAGTACTAATGCCCGAACACGTAACTAATTCTGGGTATTCTTAACATTTTAAATACTAGTATTTGAACTCTTTAAATACTAGTATTTGAACTCTCAACATAAAACATACATGTCTCGAATATATGCACATATCCTATAATGAAGGTTTAAATATTCGCATTGAAAGACCAAAACAATGTCTATGATTGGATATTTGTGCTTGGGAATTGGTATCTTTACCGTAAATCTTCGAGGATATTCATAACGTCGTGAGAGTTTTCCAAGCGTAAGCACAGAGATTGAATCGAAAATAGAGATAGTTCAGTCGTTATTTCGAGTTATCGTTGAAAACAGGAAACACTTACGGCGATCGACAATCCTCTTTTTCGCGATGCTTTTGCTATAACGAATGTCTCGAGCAGCGCGCAACGCTCGCGGAATAATTTAACGTTCGAGATGACAAATTATATCGGACATATTGCGCAGTACGTTATACCGAGGGCGGAGGGCTTCGCATGGGAAGAAGTCGACTCTCTGAGAGGTGCAAGAGCGGCGATTAATGGTCTTCCTGGGAATAAACACGACTCACTATCTCACGAGCAAATACGTCGTCATGATAGCGAGGATCAGCACAAACTGTCGTCTCGCAAACAATATGATGACTTCAGCAATGGGAACAAGTACGATCCGCCACCGTACCATTCTCGCAGGCAGAATGAAGGTGGAAACAAGTACGATCCGCCACCTTACTACTCTCGCAGGCAGAATGAAGGTGGAAACAAGTACGATCCGCCACCGTACCACTCTCGCAGACAGATTGATGACAGGAGCAAGTATGATCCGCCACCTTACTACTCTCGCAGGCAGAATGAAGATGGAAACAAGTACGATCCGCCACCTTACTACTCTCGCAGGCAGAATGAAGGTGGAAACAAGTACGATCCGCCACCGTACCACTCTCGCAGACAGATTGATGACAGGAGCAAGTATGATCCGCCACCTTACTACTCTCGCAGGCAGAATGAAGATGGAAACAAGTACGATCCGCCACCTTACTACTCTCGCAGGCAGAATGAAGGTGGAAACAAGTACGATCCGCCACCGTACCACTCTCGCAGACAGATTGATGACAGGAGCAAGTATGATCCGCCACCTTACTACTCTCGCAGGCAGAATGAAGGTGGAAACAAGTACGATCCGCCACCGTACCACTCTCGCAGACAGATTGATGACAGGAGCAAGTACGATCCGCCACCTTACTACTCTCGCAGGCAGAATGAAGGTGGAAACAAGTACGATCCGCCACCTTACTACTCTCGCAGGCAGAATGAAGATGGAAACAAGTACGATCCGCCACCCTATTACTCCCGCAGACAGAACGATAACTATGGCAACGGGGACAAGTACGATCCGCCACCTTACTACTCTCGCAGGCAGAGTGATGATGAAAACAAGTATGATCCGCCACCCTTTTACTCCCGCAGAGGGAACGGTAATTACAGCAACGCATACAAGTACAGCAACGCATACAGCCCGCCACCGTTCTATCCCCGCAAAGAGAACGATAATCTAGGCTCATGGGTAAATTCCGACTTGCCTCCTTTCTATTCTCGCAAACAATACGATAATTATGACAATGAGAACAAGTATGATCCGCCACCCTACAACTCTCGCAGAGAAAACGATGCCAAAGGGAATAAATTCAATCCGCCACCATTCCTTCTTCCTGTGATATTCTGAAGCCTATATAATACATATTTATTTTGAAGAAAAAATGAAAAGAAAAATTTCGTACATCATCAAAGCGGACATCATCAGGAGTAAATTGTGTCATTAGGATTAAACTTTGCTAACATAGCTCTTCTACTGCAGAATTTAAGATTTAACATATTTAACAAGATTTAACATATTTAATAAAATTTCGACTTCAGATTTCATTAATAATTCGACTTTCAGTAGAAACACTGCCACTTTATTCTCCCGTCTTGTAACCTCATCGAGTTTGGTCAGCGAAGATTCCGCTGTGCAAAATTTGTAACATACAAATTTGCACCGAATGCAACTTTTCGCGTTTGCGACTTTCCATGTGCCCTGTGCGCGATGACACGTAATTTTACATCCGCGTTTGCATATTGATAATAGGAACAGTCGCTATTACTAACTGATCCTTTCAGCAAGATTTTACTGATAGCAGTGTTATTACACTTGATAATAAACCACCAGTTCTAAGTGTATCATTTCGGTGCAGATACACTGATTATACTTTGGAGAATTCATCTAGCGTTATCTACACCAGAGCACTGTGGAGATCCGGCCAAGAAGAACACGCGGTCGTACCTGGGGGCTGCAACTTGCACTACGGTGAATTCATCAGAGAGTATCATCGACCGCCTCCTCACTCTGCGCCTTTCCCCGGCTACGTTTCCCGACGCCACAGTAGTAACGTCAATGCGAACATCAATGTCAGTGAGAATGTTCTGGACGATTAGGACTCACGTCGTGAGTTACATCTGAAGTTCGGGTGCATTTTTGTCGAGGACTATAAAAATGGTATGCGAAGAATTCGTACAAAAGTCGCAATTTCATGAGAAGAAATTCTCATGTAAAACTGATCATTTCGCGCGTTAACGAACGCGATGAAAGATAGCAGTAGATCGGAATTGTGTGCAAGCACAAGCACGATCGTTCCGTGAATCCGAGGATTCTTCCGTCGCTAATGTTACACGCGATGACGCTTATTCTGTCAACGCGCGTGCTCGTTATAATCACTATTTAAAATATACGATAAGAAGTAAACCCACGGACTACTTACAATCAATGTTTAATCAATCGAGAAACCCACTTCGACGGAGAACTTTTAACAAGGTCAAGCCGTTATTTAAAAATATCAAACGCGTGCGTCAGTTCAAGTGAGAGAGAGAGAGAGAAAGAGAGAGAGAGAGAACAAGAGGGAAAAAGAAGGAGAGAAAAGACGATGCCCGTAACGTCGATGTTGGAACTTCATACAACGAATGTTTCAAGACCGAATTTATATTCTCAGATCTGTTTCGAGCGTCTTTGTTAATTAAGATGCCTTCGTTCTTCCTAGCTCTCAATAATGTCGCGAAATATCGGATTTTGTATGATATTAAAGGTGCTTAGCTCTCGTAATTGCGAGTTTTACCATTGCGACTCGCTCGCTCGATCTTACTTAATCCGTCGCACTTTAAATTGGGAACGATCGGGAACGAGCACACGATAATCGATCATGCGTGTGCACGCGTGCCAGGGATATCCCATAATTATTTAATGGCCCTTCATGGCGGCTTATACCGCCTCAAAGAAAATCCAATCAGGTGCACCGCGTAAGCGCGCTACGAAATTAATTAGTTTTCGTGATCGCCGTCGGCAACGAATGTTTGCGCATATTAATAGCAACTGCGGTTTATAACTCACTGTACTGTACTACGTATTATCGAGCACATTGAGCGATGATGCTTAAACAATTGAGCCGCGGAAATTTATGGTAGATTTACGATATTTCGACTTTTTATTCGACTACAAGATTTTTAGGTATCTTGATATTCCTAAAAATAAAAAAAAAATTAGAAATAATGGCGCTCTCGAAACGAGCGATGTAAACTTATTCGATTGAAGTTAATGTTTAACATGTATATAGATAGATATACAATGAAATGAATGATATACAATAACATGTATTCAGTTACCTTCTTGATTGTGGATTTAATTTTGCTCTCTCGCGCTTTGCTTGCTCCTTTAACAAACGAAAAATTAAGTACTATTCACGTACTATTATTCAAGACATAAAGATGACAAAATTCATATTCCTAAGTTGTGATGAATACATTAGAATTCTGTTTCATATATATCTCGATATTGAAGTCCCGACTTGGCGAAGGCACTTCGTGTTCGATATTCATTTCAAAGTTTCATTTCTCGCGTGTATTCACTACAATGTCGCTACGCGATGATGTTATATGACAACATCGTGAATCGGTAATCAAGCTTTAGTGCACTCCTGCGCTCGAATCTCCCTCGGATATCAGCTCGTTAACAATTTCCGCTAACGAGCGAGTAATCGCTGGCCTATCAAGCAGCATTACTGATAAGGATTGTCTCAATGAGGAAAGATTTTGTTCGCGAGAATCGATCCTCGCATATGGCTCGCGTTAATAATTGATAGTCTTGAAATATTACGGAATATCTTAATATAATATATTGCTCGCTCGCTCGGAATAATGCCTTGAGAGACAGCACTTTTAAGGGTTGTACTCTACTCGATTTAAGAATGAAAAAGAGGTCATCGTGCGAAGGTAATTGTTTATATGGGGAAAGAATTTTATAGTAAATGTTACTACAGAATTTTGTAAGCGAGGAACAGATTGACATTCTACGGCGATTGATGATCCTTTAATTTGTCATAGATGCTACTTATATTTTAGGAACTGTGACATGAGTTATTAAAAAATTTGTTATATTTCTAGCGCAATTTATCATACGAAGAGAATGTTTTTTTTTCTTTTCATACAAATTCTTGTTAAATTAACTATGTTTTTAGTAAAGTCCAGGAATAGATTTTCAGTAAGGACTATCTTGCTCAGGTACATCATTTCGCTAGAAACATAGCGAGTGTTTTGACAGCCATTTCACAGTTCTAAAATATAAATGGCACATATGAAATGAAAAGATGGAGAGAGAAAATGAATCACTGCAGAATGTCGATTTATTCCTCGGTCACAAAATCCTATAGTACAATCTTTACTATAAAATTCTTTTCGTGTATGCTCCTTGGCAAGATATATCTTACTGACAGTCTACTTCTGTATTATTGGATACATATCGAAATTGAGAAAAATTTATAGGAAAAGAGAAAAATAAAACTATAATATTTTCTCCGTGTATACATATAAATCGACGCGCTTAAGTAAGATCGTTGTCGATCGTTATCTGCAACTTTTGCGCCATTATCCCCGTTTCAAGCGCTTTCAAGCGCCATTTCAGGCCGTCCATACCTGTCAGCCTGGAATTTCAGAATGTTGCCGGAGAAACTGCCGCAACTTTGATTGACTTCGCCCGTCAGCTTTCGCCGAGGAGCGAAAGACGAGGGAGTCGGCTCACCTGAGCGCGAGGGTCGCGCTGACGGCAAATAAAGTGTTAATGAGTGCCCTTATTGCTCGCTCTTGCGAACGTCGGATTTGAGAGGAACCGTGAGGACGACCGTGATCTCGACAACGTGAGCCGTATAGATCGCGAGATCGTTATTCTAAATCGACACCCCTTCTTCTCTTTTTTTCGCGCGTGCATTTTGCGTGCGACGATCTACCGGCAAGTAGCGCCGGTTTTAAAGTTGCCCGTAACGATAAGTAACACTTTGTCGTTTATAACGCTGTAGCCGCGTGTGGCTAAATTGGAAAAGTTATTCAGGCCGTCTCGGTAACTCGTTAGAAACTGCGTCGTGCCGCGGCGGGGTGTTGTTCCGCGCAGGCAGCAGTTCCTGCGCTTTAAAGTGCGCTGTTCTTGAAATGCATTTCCGTGATCTAGTAACGTTTAGTTCGCGCACAGTCACGAATATTCGTGTTCGTTAATGCGCACCCTAATGCTCCGCACTCGTCCTTCGGGATCCGCAGCGATTAGTTCGGTTTAAGCCATCGGTGTGTTCTTCCGTTTTTTCTTTTCTCTTTTTATAACACTCTCGCGCCAGCAAAATCGCGAAATCGCACACACGGACGTCGCTTCCACTTTGAGAACACGTAACTTTCAAATACTCTGTGCAGTTTCCCTCTTCCGTTCACACCCCTCGTAATTCACAACGCGTCGGACACGAACGGCAATATCGAATCGATAGGATCGATAAACGTTGAAAGTTTTAATCGAATTTCACACGCAGTCGGGGTGACTCTGCGGCAAGCAGTAACACGCATCAAACAACTGTTCAGATCCCTTACCGCCAACGATACCGGCCAGCTATTTTCCGATTTCAGCGGCGAGTAGCGTACTCCGCGCTTGCGGAGCGGCTAATTGCACTTTCCGCGGAAATTACAGGACGCTGCGTTGTTACAGAAACCGGACGTCTACCGCCGCGCGGCTCCATTAAGGGTGGACGAGCGGCTCGTTTCGGTCGTTCAATCTGTTAAAGTGCGCGTATCAAGGCTGCTAATTACACCGGTTAGCTGGGCACATCGCCTCGATATATACATATCCTCTGTTCGAAACTCGAAAATGCCACTTGTTACCGCTCGTTAACGTTCCCTTCGCCCTCTGCAGGCAGTATATATCGCCGCATCGCGGCACACATGCGTCTCCTGTACGCTTAGTTTCCACCGACTGCTTAATTAATCGCGCGATGATCCCCTATTTTCCACGAAATTCTAACCGAGAAAGAGAAAAAGGCTCTAACGAGCCTGATCGTGCATGATAACTTCATTAATCGCACAACGATTCCCTATTTATTTCCCGCGGAATTCTAACTGAGAGATAGGAAGATTCTCCAGTGAGTCTGGTTACATGACTACTTCATTAACTGCGCAACGATTTTCCGCGGAATTCTGGCTGAGAAAGAGAGACAGTCTCTAATTAGCCTGATCACATGATGACTATTTAATTAGTCGCGCGACAGTTTCCTATTTTCTACAGAATTCTAACTGAGAAATGGGAGGATTCTCTAATGAGTCTGGTTACATGACTATTTAATTAATTGCGCGGCGATTACCTATTTTCCACAGAGTTCTAACTGAGAAAGAGAGATAGACTCTAATGAGCCTGATTACACAATGACTACTTAATGTCTATGGTAGAACTTACCGTAGCGGCATTTTAGTAATATTTCTGCACAGGCAAATTTAGACCCCGTCACAAATTATTAAGCTGGTCTTAATCTGGCGCCAAATGACTACTCAATCACTTGCACGACGCATTCTTCTATTTTCTGTAGAATTTTGAGAGATTGTAAGACTCTAAATTTGCTCGATTATTTAATTAATCGCGTGATGATCTTCGATCATCTACAGAATTCTAACTGAGAGAGAGAGAGAGAGAGAGAAATAGAGAGAGAGGGGGAAGAGAAAAAAGGGGGGAGAGAGAGAGAGAGAGAGAGAGGCTGTAATGATCCTGATTACATTACATCCAATCATAGAGAGATTCATGCAGAATCTGTCACGATTAATGTCAACTCTTTTAGAACGATTCTCGTAGATCCACTCGCTTCGCGTTTCCTTGTCGTGAATATCACAGTTTGAGGGATTCTCACGCTATTAAGATTAAATCGGTGTCAGTATCAGGTATCGATATCAATTGCGCGAAGAACCTGAGACGATGTTTCATGCTGAAAGATATACCCTTCAAGAAGCGCTATTACTGAAAGTGCTTCGCGATCGCATTCCTGCTGGAAAACATGATAATCTCGTTCAATCAGTCACCTCGTCGATTAATGAATCGACGGGCTAATGAATCAATCGTTGCTCATGATACGACGCGTTCCATATTTCATGAGGAAGGAACGGAATGCTAATGAAATGCTAATGAAATGCCCACATTATATCAAAACGCACTAACTTTGTTACTACTCGATAAAATTGCGGCGACAGCAAACGCCGCAACTTTCCTACATTTCCTACATAATGTAAATATTCTCTCCCTCTCTCTCTTCCCCTCCCCCCTCTCCATTCTCCTTCTCTGCCTTTCCGCGCGCGCGCTAAACACTTGTTTGAGGAGTTTCGCGCAAATACGAGCACGCTCGCTGTACAATCTGCCTAGATTAGTTCGTGCGTCGTCGTTGCCCTTTTCGCGAGAACGTGGAAAGTCCAGGCGCGGATCGCGCTGGATAAGGGATTTGTAAGGATTAGCATGCCACACCGGCAACTTTCTAACGCGACGCACACGCTCGTCGGCTAAATAACACGAGCGGGCGCGAAAATTGCAACGCTTTTTCCTTTTCTTTACATTCTTCCCTTTTTCAACCCAGTTTATTTAAAATCTTACGCGACGGTGAAACGTCCTTTCGTCGCGCGAGCGCTTGTAAATTTAATTTATAACTTCATGACAACTGTCGTCACGCGTAAAACACTTCGTGGCATAATTTGAAAAAAAGTGCGAGAGTCCCCGCCGCTTTGAATTGCAATGTGAGGGGATATGCGCATGCACTTGTATGATAAGCACGTTGGGGTGAATCGGCGCGCACTGTCGCATACGATGCATAGCCATGGCGTTTCTCGTGCTGCGGCATGAAAATAACCGCTGTTGTAAGCACTTGCGGCACTTCTCTTTGGGTCTTGCGTTCACCCATCGAAATATCCCTTACACAAGAGTCTCACATAAAGATATAGTCGCAGATCCTGAGAGGATAACTGTGCCGATAACCATGCGACGAAGTACCGGCCGCGAAATTATCTTTTCGTTAAACGGTATCATCGATGAAGCGAGTTCCTCGATATCGCACGTGAAATAATACTACGTTGTTCTTCGAATCAGGCTGGCTCGTAATTGGGATTTTCCAATTTTTGCAAAACGAATCCGCAATTCCCTTCTATCGGATACACTGTTAAATATTGGAGGGTCAAATTTAAACCAATTTCTTGAGTTAAATAATGTTTAGTTATTTTTGACTATTATGTGTGTCAAAATTTACTATTTTAACATAAAACATGTGTTTAAAAAAACAACCACATCTAATCAACCCATTTAGAACAATATTAAATC